TTTCATTTCTCTTTCTGTCTGAATGGTATTCATTATATGTGTGTATCATGATCTGTTTATCTTTTCTTTCATTGATGAGCATTTAGGTTGTTTCTACCCTTTAGCTATTGTGAATAATATGCTGCAATGAACTTTGGTGTACATCTCTCTGTTTGCATTGTTTCTCTGAAGATCTTTGGTTATAGTTCTAGTAGTGGATTTATTTACACATCGTGAAATGAAAAATCCTCACCACTGAGCAATAGGCAATGATAGATGAAGAAAAGATTGATGTTGTCAAGAATTTCACCTTACTTGGATCTACAGTTACCACCTGTGGTACTAACAGTCAAGAAATCAAAAGACTTGTCACATTTGTAAAATTTGTCAGGAACTTCTCCGAAATACTAAAGATCAACTAAAGTCAGTTTAAAGTCTAAGGTGCACCTGATCCAAGCCATGATCTTTTCAATTTGTTGGTATATATCTTAAAACTGGACAAGGAATAAAGTTTATGGAAGAAGAATCAATTTTTTTTTTCAAATCGAACTTTTTATTACTAAAGCACAGTGATGGCGACAGGAGGAAAAGGAAGGCGGGGTCCCTGCTGAGGGGCTGGCCTCACCCCCACCCGGGAGTCCCCTCCACCCACACGGCCAGGGGCTGGCTGGTGACAGTGGCCGAGAGGCCTGGCGGGCGGTCAAAGGAGGCGATTCACATTATCTGGGGCAAACCTGCGGGGTTTTGAGTTGTGGTACTGGAGAGGGTACAGAACATGGACTGCTAAACGAACAAATTTGTCTTGGAGAAAGTACAGATAGGGTGGGCCATATAGGCAAGGATGGTGAAACTCTGTCTTCATACTTTTGTCATAGTTTCAGGAGGGGGCAGTCTTTAGGAAAAAAATCTATCATGTTGATAAAGGTGAAGTCTCAGCAAAAGAGAAAAAGATCTTTAACAAGATGGATTCACATAGTTACTATAACAATAACCTCAAGTGTATCAGAGATGATAAGGATGGCATAGTTAGGGCAAGAGTCAGATCTGTTAGGCATAGATCACTATGAATTGTGGTTGACTCAATGGCACATTAACAACAACAGTGGATTGACTACTTTAGTAGTACTATTTTTAGTTTTTTGGGAAACCATCAAATTGTTTTCCACAGTGGCTGTACCCTTTTGCCTTCTCCACAGCAATAAAAGAGAGTAAGTAGCAGTTTTTCCACACCCTTACTAATATTTGTTGTTTTATATTGTGCTTTGCTTTTGTTTGCTTTTAAAAAAAAGTCTTAGCAATTTTTGTCAGAGTATAGTGATACTTCATTGGGGCTTTGATTTGTATCTCTTTGATATCATTGAGCATCTTTTCACCTGTTTTGGTCCAATATGAATATTTGGAGAAATATCTTTTCAGATTCTTTGATCATTTTTAAAAAATTTGTGTTTTAGTTTTAAGTTGCTAAAGTTTTGTGCATACTTGTTCTTAGATTCACACTGGATATGTGATTTCCACAGATAGTCTACCAAATGAGTAGCTTGTCTTTCAACTTTTTAGGTAAAGTCTTTTCATGAACAAACATTTTTAATTGCTATGACATCCCATTTGTGGGGTTTTGTCTTTTTTATTTTTGCACTTCATGTATGTGTTATTATAATAGATAGCTTTTTGTTAAAAGCTATACCTCACTGTGTTGTATCTACATTTTCTTCTAGGAATTTTATGGTTTTTAAATCCAAAAATCACATTTAAATTCTTAATACATTCCTAATTTGAAGGTTTTGTATGTATGGTCTGAAGAATGGTTCCTACTTAATATTTCTATATAGAGAAGTCTGGTAAGAAGAAATGAAGCCAGGGTGTTCCTTAGAAGCAGGATGGCAAAACTTTGTCGTACATACTTGGAATATGTTATCAAGAGAAGTCAATCCTTGGAAAAGGATGTCATCCTGGGAAATATGTAGGGTTATAGCAAAGAGAGGAAGACCTTTAAGAATACAGATTGGCACAGGAGGACCTTATGCTGAGTGAAATATCTCAGTCACAAAAGGACAAATACTGCATAGTGCTACTATTGTAAAATGGGACTGACATCAGGGTTGGGGAGAACCTAAGAAAAGAGGAGATAAATGATGTACACTGCATTGAAACAGATGAGGGAGAGAACTGTTTAAAAGGAATATATGATTAGGTATTGTTATCATGACAAGTTTCCAGAATAAGAGCTGCATAGTAAAGTAGACTGGAGGGGATTGTATAACAATAAGAGATTGTTTGTTTTTTATTTTTTTTTTTCTTTCCAAAGAGAAAAGCGAACTGGGGGATGGGAGGCAGGGAGGAAAGTGTGCAATAATGAATGAATGGGAGAAAAGTTTTCTTGTAGTTACCAAACAAGGGAAGGGGGAAGGAATTGACTATTGATAGTAGAATTCTGTCACCAAAGAAAACTTGACCTCTTTTCAGGAGACAGAGAGAGAGAGAGAAATTATGTATCTCTTAGATCTAAAAAAGTTATCCTATTATGTTGTAAGATATTATTGTATTTGTAAGAAACTAGAAAGCAAAAGCTGTATTTTATCATTATATCTCATTGTCTGGCAATGTACAAAGTGGGTGTTCAACAATACGGATTTGAGTAACTGACTCTGGATTTCTCTTTTGAAGTTCTTTTATAGGCCTGAATAAGGAAGAAAGCTTGAGACTTAATATATAGTGTTTGGAATGGGACTTGTTTTTACTTTAGGTCAGAAAGCCCTACAGCTGAGTTCTCAGGAAAACGAAAATCCATTGTCTATATTTGTCCAGCCTGGGCTACATCTAGGCAAATGCCATTCAGTCTGTATTTATATATTATTTTCTCTCCATTTGACCATGTTTATGTACTTGGGGCACATCTATAAGATTCAGACTATTACTGTGTATTTCTGTCTTTTTAGATAAAAGCATGCAATTTTCACATGCAAGTTATTTTCAGCAGGCAGTTCTTTTGCTAAAGCACAAAAGATATGAAAACAAACAAAATGTGCTGTTTTAACAAATGAGTCCTTAGAGATGGATTTCAAAACATGGTTTTAGTTTCTTGATCTAGCTTTTACCCTATCACTTCATAGCCCTTAGAGAAATCTTGAAATAAATCAATGGCATTCACACAAGTATTAAGTTGACAGTTTAATTTCCCCCCCTGTTTTGTCTATGGCTATTGCCAATGGAATTAGGCCCAGCCATGAGAAAAATTAGTTATACAAAACATATTTTGGATATCTATGTGTGCTTACAGGAAGATTTGTTTCTGCTAATATTAATGACATCATTTGCACATGGAACTAATTATCCTACCCTACATAATTTCAGATTGTAACATTCTCCACCCCCAACAAAATCTTAATTCAAAAAGAAATAAATGGCACAATTTATAGCATGGTTAGAATTAATTACATTTTAAAACAATTTTTGAAGGTAAATTATTAATTTTAAAACGTATGTATTAATGTATAAGTCAACTTTTTGTTAAAGTGTGAAGGGATTATTCTAGTAGAAAGGGAGAAAGGTCAGATTTATGACATTTTTCTAGAAGTAGCCCCTAAGAGACCAAATGCTAGAGCATGGATACCTTACCTTCTATTTATATTCAAAGCTTCCCAGAATTATTCTTTTTTTTTTTTTTAGTTGATCATTGGATTGCTGGGGTTTTTTGGGTTTTTTTCTTTCTATAATCCTTAAACCCAGTTTTTTTCTAATATACTTTCACACATCTACTAGTAGTTTGTGAGTTTCAGACTGCTAAGTACCTTAATACTTACACATTACAAGAGATTTTAGGAACCATTTGACAAAATAAATTTATTTGTATTTTCTGCAACATTTTAACATAAACTTTTTTTTTTTGCATTTAAGAAATAAACTGAGTGTTTTGCCTTTCTGTTTGCAGATTAAGTCTTTTAGTAGCTAATGAGAATCGTATTTTCTCCCAGTACTTGAATATCAGGATTAACAAACACAAGTATAAAGGTCAAAATTACCAAGCTTTATAGAAGCACCATTCCATATATACAGTAGATCCCTTGTACAAAGCATGAAGGAGAGCCAGTGTAGACAGCAGCCTGAACACAAACACAAAATTTGACTTGCCATCTGTGACGACAGCACAGCAATTGTTAAATTTGACATGACTGCAAAAGAATTTAAAGGGCCAGCAGATCATTAAGAATACAAAGGATAGCTTTGTGGTTCTGGTATAAGACACATGGTATGCTAAGTGTCAAACAATCCATAAGGTTATCCTGAGTCCCTGCAGGATGATTCAATTTCCAAATAAGGTGAATAGCTGAGATAGATAGGACTGTAGAATCTGACTTGGTCAGCCAGCTATCTTTCCAGAAATCTGCAATTGCTTGGAGCTTTAATTAGTATCCTACTTCAGCCATTTTGATGACAAAATGAGATAAGTGGGAAAAGAGGGTAGGGGGTTGGGTTGGTTTGTTTTGTTTTGTTTTTAGGCAAAATATTTGCTTTCTAAAACAAATGTATACTACAAATTGGATATATGGGGGCTATGATGCCTCAGTGGTGAGGAGTTGTGTGCCAAACCCGAAACCAGAGCCTTGAGTCCACACGTGCTCTGTGAGGGAAAGATGGACAGTCTCCTATGGTGCTATTTCATTTAACTGAAAACTCACGGGAGGGTCAGCCGTGAGTCTGTTCCCACTCAATGCTATTATAACAACAACATTCTATTTTCATTACTTGGGCTGGAATTCAGTTTCTTCCGTTTAAAGTTCTTAATAAAAGGGGGATTTTTCTAAATGGCATTGTCACACATTCTGGTTTCATCTGGAAATTTACAGTGGCGTTTTGCTAGTCTGCTAACATGCTCTAGCATTCTCAGCTTTTGGTAGAATTTGGAGACTGTAAAAAGAACTCAGCTACACAGAACCTTCCCTTCTCCACCCACCCCCCCCTTCAGTAGAGCAGTTGTTTCAGTAGGGCATCCTCTGACATGCTGGTGTTCTTCTCTTTTGCAGGGGCTTTACGTTTTTGTGGTCTATTTTATTCTACACAACCAGACGTGCTGCCCTATGAAGGCCAGCTACACCGTGGAAATGAATGGGCACCCTGGGCCCAGCACGGCCTTCTTCACACAAGGAAGTGGAATGCCTCCTGCTGGAGGGGAAATCAGCAAATCCACCCAGAATCTCATCAGCGCTATGGAGGAGGTGCCTACCCCCCATCACCTCCACCACCTGTGTGACCACCACAATCCTCCAGCCTCGGGCCAGCCCACCACTACCCATCACCCCTCCATCCCTGTGCATCTTCCCTCTCTCTCACACACACATTCTGGCGTCCTTTTATCTATGATATTCAGCTCACTTACTGTCGAATCAAGGAGCTCTGCTGATATACTGGTTAAGCGCTTAGCCGCAAACCATAACATACTAACTACTCCACTAAAGAAACATGTGAAAGTCGGCTTCCATAAATAGTTCCGCTTCAGAAATCCTAGGGGGGAGATCAGCTCTGTCCTCTGGGATTGCTGTGGGTTGGAATTGACTCCGCAGTGGTAGGTACTGTGGTATCACGCTTTATTTCTTGCCCGTTGAGCTGTGGTCTATACCAGCAGTTTTGTTGGGAAATGATACAGCACAATTTGACATCTCCTTCTTCAAACTCTTCCTAGTCTGTGACAACCACTGAGTCTTTTTAAAACTCTTTTTATAAACTCTTACTCTTTAATATATATTTTCATAGCTCTCTTCCTTCATCCCAACTCACTGCCTCAATCCTAACAAACTCAGTGAAAAGAAAATGGATAAAATTCACTTTAAGTATCAGAAAATACTTTAGAACAAAGGCATGGAAAAGCAAGCACGAGTGGAAAATCCAGCCAGGATTTCCTCTGTAAAATCTGTGTTCCACTGCTCTCTCCACATCATTTTGATTTCCTCTGTTTAAATCACCTTACCACTGACCTGGCAGTAATTATGCCCATTCTACTGGGACCACTGCTCAGATTTTAAAACATACCTGAAGGTATTTGACCAGAAAGAGACAGTAACACAGACAGTTACCTGCAGTGCCCATTAGTGTGCCTGGCAACCATTGCTTACACAGCTCATACTGCTTCTCAGTAGTACAGAGGCAAGGGGAATAGTACTTAGGTTTGCAGCCACACTAAAATACCAAGTGCATCTATCTGAAAGAGAAATAATAGACAATAAATTCTTGGATAGATGATTTTTTCCCTCTTGTCTTTCATCACAAGATAGAAAAGAATATTATACTTTTCTACTTAGCAGATTGAAATGAATTAGGATGATCACAAATCAAGTGTCATGTTGAAAAGCTGAGATTTGTGTGTACTCAAACATCTCATGCCATTCCTCTACCCCACATTATTTCAAAGGAATGATTTTTCAACATTGAAGGTGATATCAATAGAAAGAGAAATGTTTTTAAAACTCCTGAATGAATCTTTAAAAAAGAATATGTATTGTAATGTTTACCCAGTCTGTTATTTGTCAACATCAGAAAGGCCCAATGTGTTTGCTGTGGGCTACTATAGGAGAGGGCAGTGGTGGTGGAATTCTCACCTCCACGTGGCTCATTTCCAGCAAAGCACTTCAAGCACAACCACCTCTCATCTGTTAGGACAGACTTATGTGTTGCTGTGACATTGAGTTTGTTTCAGGAGGGCTTAAAGACAAAGACAGATCAGGATGATAGACCCATTTCTAAAAATCCCCCAGTGAGAACCATGTGGATCAAAGCAGTATGGTCCCTGTGTCCATTACGTTCCTGTGAATCAGACACCAAGCACAGCTAGCAGCACCTACGTGTAACTGTACATTTCAACTAATCACAATCCAGTAGCACAAAAATTCAGTTTCTCAGTAGCGCTGCAAGAGCTATGTGTCTAGTGTCTTCTATAGCAGGGAGAACAGGTGTGAAATGATCATATTGCAGAAAGTTCTATTGGTACTGGTCTAGCTGTTCAACATGTTAGTGACCTTTCTCAAAGTCTTTTTAGTAAGTTTATTTCTAATGTCCTCAGGACACTTTCCTCAGTTTGAGGTTTCCCTCTATCTAGTCTCTCAGAAAACCTCATATTGAGAGGCAGCAGCTGTGGCAGTCCAATTCCTGGCCCAATCCACTACTTAAGTGTTCATCTTGGGTGTCGGCCAACAGCATACTCTAAAGTCTGCTCTACATTCCTCAGAGGCTTAGAATTGGCCTTGATCCAGCTGTCAGTGAGGGACTGTCAGAGGCATTCTGAAAAGCCATGTGGAGAAAAGAAAGCATAGGAAAGGGAGGATTAAAGCCTTGTTTACCAGTAACCTAGAAATAAGTGAAAACATTTAATCATTTCTGAATGCAGTTGTCTTTCTTAATCAAAAAGGAAGCGTTTAGGATGCCCTGAACTTCCTTTTTAAAAAAAAAAAATTCACTATATTTTTCAAGATGCCTACTGTGTTTTAAATACTATTTAGTACTATAAATGAACAATAAGATTCTTCTACATTTCTTAAATTTTCTTTGCATATATCCTACAGAGAATAAAATGTATTTATTGAGCTAAAAAAAAAAATCTTATTTCCACACACATAATAGTCTAGAAATCTATCAGAAATTCCAATAAAGAAATTGTTCATTATTTCAGATTAGAATGTCTCATGGAAAACTATATTTTTCAAAAGAACAAAGGTAAATATTTTGGTGTCTAAAGAATTCAGTCGCCCTTTCACCAGGCCACTGTAATGTTATAGGGAGATAAAAGTAAGAACTTATGCATTCATGTTATGGTTTCCTTTTCTTCCTACTCCAACCCAAAAAAGGTACCACCAGACTGGGAAAGAGGATCCTTCCAACAAGCCACTCAGGCTAGCCCTGAGCTAAAGCCAAGTCCACAAAACGGCGCCACGTTCCCTTCCTCTGGAGGATATGGCCAAGGGTCACTGATAGCTGATGAAGAATCACAAGAGTTTGATGACTTGATATTTGCTTTAAAAACTGGTATGTATGAATCCAAAATTAAAAGTACTCACTCTTTACTAGAGGGAACTCTGGTGACCCCGTGGTAAGAAGCCACGCTATAATCCTAAACCATACTGCTACGTAGGAGAAGGATGACAGTCACCTCCATGCAATTTTACTGCCTCTAAAAGCCCACTGGATGGTCAGCTGTAGGTTGACTCTAACTTGATACCACACAACAACAACAGCACTCGTTACTATAAGTAAGTCACCCTTAGTACATCCTGATTCTCATGACCCATTCTTAATCTCAGTCAAATTCTAGGGTGTTTTCTTTTTGACATCAAATAAAACACTGATGGCATATTGATTGACATATTTCAACAAACAAATGCTGCCTTGACTATGCTCACCAAGTTGTGCCAAGAAATCTGGAGGATAACCACCTGGCCAACTGACTGGAAGAGATCTATATTTGTTCCCATTCTAAAGAAAGGTGATCCAACAGAGTATGGAAATTATCAAACAGAATCATTGATATCACATGCAAGCAAGATTCTGTTGAAGATTATCCAAAAATGACTGGAACAGCACATCAACAGAGAACTACCTGAAGTGCAGGCTGGATTTTAGAAGAGGATGTGGTACTAGGGATATTAAAGCTAATGTCAGATGAATCTTGGCTGAAAGCAGGGAGTACCAGAGGAATGTCTGTCTGTGTTTCTTGACTATGCAAAAGCATTTAACTGTAAATCACAACAAACTGTGGCAGATTCTGAGAAGAATGGGAATCCCAGGACACTTGATTGTGCTTAGGCAAAACCTATAGTTGGACCAGGAAGCAGTTGTCAAAACAGAGCATGGAAGCACTGGATGGATCAAAATTGAGAAGGGTGTGCACCAAGGATGTGTCCTATCTCCATATCTTTTCAACCTATGTGTGGAACAGATCATTCAAGAGGATGGGCTCTATGGGGAGAAATGTGGCATCAGGATTGCAGGTAGACTCATCAGCAATCTGTGTTATGCAGATGACACAACCTTGCTTGCTGACACTGAGGAGGACTGCTAGGAGAACAAACAAGTTTTTCCTGGAGAGAGTGAAGCCAGGCTGTTCCTTGGAGGCAAGAATTCTGAAACTTCATCTGACATGGTGGAATCAGTCCTTGGAGAGGGGCATCATATTTGGGAGGGTGGAGAGACAGCTCAGGAGAGGAAGCCCTTGATGAGATGGATTGATTCAGTGATGGGGTAATGGGGAATAGATATGTGGTAGACTACATGATTGGCACAGGATAGAGCAGGGTTTAGGGCTGTCGTATATATGGTCACTGTGAGTCACAGGCGACTCAGTAGCACATAGCAACAATAACAAACAAAAATTAATTCGTAATTTGCTTTTAAAAATATATATATTCTCAACTAAATGAAAATATCTCTCCTAGAATATTGCTAAAATTCCCAGTTAGAAGTAAGACAAGTTTAGTATAAAACTGTGTGGTTAGAATAACACTGCGAGAGTTTAACCTGTCAAAGAGACCGTCTTATGAATATCTTAAAGCAGAAACTTTCAAAGGCATCATAATGGGTATTGCAAAATCTTTACTTTTCAATGTGGCATTATATTAATTATTTTGGTTATTGATATATGCTAAATATTGATCCTCTCCCTGAAACTCCACTGTTATTAAATAATTTTTAAATCATTGTTAAACAATCATAGACATGTCGTGCTAAATATTCAAAGCAGCAGTGTATATATTTTTGATGGTGGAGGTAAACTACAAATAAGATATATAAGAGCTATGAATTTATATTATCAGAAGTCACATGCTCTAAGTTGATAGAATTAATGAATATTATTTCTTTTAGTGTTTGAATATAGACCTTTGGCCAGTTAGTGATAAGAAACTGCACTGTCAAGGCAAAGGGGTATTATTTGAACCCACCAGCTCCCCCATGGCAGCAAAACAGCCTATCTCCTCCTGTGTGATTAACCTGAAAACCTTCTGGAGGGTTAGCTATGGGTCGGTTCCATATCAACAGTGCATAAACAAAGGCGTTTCAATAGTATGAAGATGTACAGTATCTCATCGTCTGTTAGAAAAGCTATTTGAAACATTGAAAAAAAAACTATTAGTCATTTTTGTTGTTTCAACAATTATATATACAAATATTTGCACTTCACTTTTTCCCCTCAAAATCAGTTGAGCACTACTACTATGGAAAGTTTCAATAAGACTATTACTTCTGGATAATAAGAACAATAACAAGATACTTAGATGAGCTTATTGGAATATTTATTTAAAGAATATATGTTATAAACTTGGAAATTTAAAAATTAAAAAAGATTATATAAAACTAAATGTGTATGAATGAAATCAGTGTATGTGAACGACTGTATAAAAGTGAATGTTATTGTTGTAGTTGTTAGTTTCTATTAAGTCAAGTACAACTTATGGCAACCCTATGAACAACAGGTCTGAACCCCATCCTATCCTATGTCATTCACACTTCCTGATACACTGGAGCTCATCATGGCAGTCATCCTGTCAAGGTTTTTCTTCTCATTTGTCAAACCTCCACCCTTCCAAGCATCATGTCCCTCTCCAATGAATAGCCCCTCCTTGCATCATATCCAAAGCATGTGAGGCGAAGCCTCATCATCCTTGCCTCCAAAGAGTACTCTGGCTGCATCTTCTCCAAGAATATTTGTTTGTTCTATTGACTGTCTTTGGGATGTTCCGTGCTCATCTCCAACACCATAGCTCAAAGGTGTCAGTCCTTCTTCCATAATCCTTATTCATTGTCCAGCTCTCAAATGCATAGCAATTGATCCAAAAGACCATGGCCTGAATCAAATGCACCTTCATTCTCAAACTGACATAATTACTCCTCAACAATTTAGAGAGGTCCCTAACTACAGACTTTCCCAGTGCAATGTGTTTCCTTATTTTCTGACTGCTGGTATCAAGGGTGTTAGTTGTGGATTCAAGTAAGATAGAGTTGTTGACAGTTTCAATGACTTCTCCATCTATGATGGTGTTGCCTTTGGGTCTAGTGGTAAGGATTTTTGTTTTCTTGACATTGAGATGCAATCTATCTTGAAGACTTCATTCATTCATTCTGCAAGAACTGCTTCAACACCTCCTCAATTTCAGCAAGCAAGGTTGTGTCATCTGCATAATGCAGATTATCTCTGTTCCTGATTCCACACTCCTCTTCATTGACTCCAGCTTCTTCAATAATTTGCTAAGCATATAGATTGACTAGGTATGGAGAAAGAATATAATCCTGACCAAATCCCGTCCTAATTTTAAACCAAGCACTGTTTTCCTGCTCTGTTCACACATCAGTCTCCTGGTTTAGGTATAGGTTTCACATGAGCACAATTAAGTGCTCTGGGATTCCCATTCTTCTCAATTTTGAAGACAGCTTGTTATGATCCACACAGTCAAATACCTTGTCATATTCAAGAAAGCACAAATAGACATTCTTCTGGTATTCTTTACTTTCAGCCATTATCCATCTGACATCAGCAATGATATCCCTAGTACTACAGCTTCTTCTAAATCCTGTTTGAATTTCTGGCAGTCTATCTATGTATTGTTCCAGCCATTTTTTCAGTGATCTTCAGCAATATTTTGCTTGCATATAATATTAATGATATTTCTCAATAGTTTCCACATTCTGTTGGATCATTTTTCTTGGAAATAGGAATAAATATGGACCTCTTCCAATCCATTGACCAGACAGCTGTCCTCCAAATTTCCTGGCATAGACTGGTGAGTACATCCAAGGCTGCATCTGTTAATTGGAACAAGTCAATTGGTATCCCTTCAATTCCTTGGGCCTTATATTTGTCAGTGCCTTTAGTGCAGCTTCTGATTCTTTCTTCATTACCATTCTCTCCTATTCATATGGTACTTCCTGAAATTTTTCCGTTTCAATCAATTCTTTCTGGTATAGTAACTCTGTGAATTTCCTCCATCTTCTTTTGATGCTTTTTGGTTCGTTCAGTATATTGTCCCTGTTGTTTTTGCTATTGTTATGTGCTGTCAAGTCAACTGCAACTCATAGTGACCCTATGCACACCAGCTCTGAAGCCTGCCCTGTCCTGAGCCAGTATCACTGACTCCAACACACCTACTCCCATTGCCCCAGTTACTGATCAATCCATCTCATCTGGAATCTTCCTCTCCTGCACTGTCCCTCCACCCTTCCAAGAATGATGTCCTTCTCAAAGGACTGGTTCCTCCTGGCTATGTGCCAAAAGTATGTGAGACAGAGCTTCAGAATCCTAGCCTCCAAGGAGAAACTTGGTTTCACCCTCTCCAAGACAGACTTGTTTGTTTTCATGGTGGCCAATGGTATGTTTAAGACTCTTCGCCAGCACCACAACTCAAAGGCATTGATTCTTCTTCTGTCCTTGGTCATTGTCCAGCTCTTTGATGTATAGTAAGTAATTGTAAAGGCCAAAGCCAGGACCGCACATACCTTAGTCTCTAGACTGACATAGTTGCTTCTTAGTATTCTGGAGAGGTTCCCTGATGGCAGGTTTTCCCAGTGCAATTCATCTTTTGATTTCCTGACAACTGGTGCCAAGAGTGTTGATTATGAAGCTGTAATTGTTAACAACCTCAATCTCTTCTCCATCTATTATGGTGCTACCATTGGCTCAGTGGTAAAATTCTTTGTCTCCTTGATGTTCAACTTCTATATAACATCTTTCAATATTGTGAGTCAGGGTTTAAACTTGTTTTTCAGTTCATTTTCCTCTCAAGCTGTCCTTTGAAATCTTCTGTTCAGTTCTTTAACTTCAGCATGTTTCCCATTTTGGCTTTTTTTCCTTTTTTTTTTAATTAATTTTAATGAAAGTTTACAGAGACTTAGGGTTTCCAGTTATTTATTGTTGCACTTTTCTCCCTGCCCACCCCTACCTTCAATTCACTCTTCTCCCTGAAAAGAAAAAGAAAACTTTTTCATTGCTATGCAATCCCATCCCTCAAGTCCACTCCACTCTGCAGCCTTCACTCTGG